ATTCAATTAGCCCGTCAGCTGAGCGCCGGGGAGGGCAGCGCTTCTGAAGTCGCCGACCTGGGCGACTGAGGGCGACTGACCCCTGCTTGTGCTGGAGGCCTCACATGTAGCATTGTCTGTCCCTAACGGGATGCAGACAGACGGATGGACGGACGGCTGGACGGGCGCCGTGTTGGCCGCCCAGGTGCCCACGCCACGCGGGGCTGCAGCTGCCCCGGCGTGGGGTGGAGGGGGGAGAGCTGGGAAACCCTCCGGCTCAGGGAGAAGGAGCGAGCATGGCTCCACGGCAGAAGAAGCTTTAAAAAAAAAAAAAAATTCAAAAATTAAAAAATTAAAATTAATTTGGTTTTTTTTCCGCCTAGAAAAATCCCTGCGCAGCGGCGGCAGCACTGCAGGGCTTCGGGGAAAAGCATCCCGGGGGGGGGAGAGTTGGGGGGGTAAAAAGAAACAATCGTAGCGTCAGACGAGGACTCGCTGTTTCGGGGAAGGTTTGGTGGCTTTGTAGCAAGCAGCGTCCGCAGCCCTGCCATGCCGCAGCGTACTTGCGGATCGGGCTACATCAATTAACCTATAAATCTTTTTTTATACGTTTCCCACTACTACTTTGCCAACTTTGCCTGGGTGTGCGCGCCCAGCAATACCTGCACGGGTGTACAGGCACTGTTTACACCCGATCCCTTCCTGGCTGGAATTTGCCGGCTCGGGGACCAAAAATGGGATGAAACGCGTTTATTTTTTTTAAGAGCATTGTTGGTATGGCCTAGATTTTTTTTTTCCCCTTGCGCTTTTGTAATTAAAAAAAAAAAGTGTAATATATTTTGTACATATTTTGCCACTTCAGTAAATTCCATTTTTATTCAGCGGGATTTCTGGCCAATCCCAATTTATTTTCCAGAGGCGGGGGAACATCGCATCTCTCTCCTTTTTACATCTATCTCAGTTGCAAATGTGCAAACAACAGCAACCGGAAAAGTAATCTCGCAGGCTCCCTTTCCCCGTCGTGCTTCCAACACGAGGGGAAGGCGGAGAAAGAACTCCTGCTTTACGTCAAGAACAGATATCAGTGTAATTCTCCTCCACCACCTTTTTTTTTTTTTTTTTTTTTCTTTTTTTTTTTTTTGCCTTTTGGGATGATTTGGGAATTTAACAGCCACAAAAATATAAAACCCCTGGAAAGCGGTGCGGGTCCCTCTGTGCCCGGAGTCCCACCGATGCCCACCTCCCTTGCATGCCCCACATGGCGGCAGATCCGGACCTCCTTGCTGGGTGTCCCGTCCCCCCCCCAGTTCTGCCCCCCGCCCTGGCCCAGGGACTCCAGGGACTTAACGTTGGCCCGTCCCAGCACCCCAGCACGGTGCGGGGAGCCTTGCCAGGGGGAAGACCACAAGGTCTGGGCCCTGCAGCACAGGAGGAACGAATGGTCCCCAGTGGGTGCCCACTCGTTACGGCGGATTTCAAAGTGGGGCAGGGGCAGGTGAAGTTTCAGCAACGGTCCCGGGTATGGGGGGTGTCGGCGGCTCCACGGGTTTCCCTCGTTCCCTTCCACCGAGGGTGCGAGGAAAAGGCAAAACAAACCCGGGGAAACAGCAACAAAAATCCCCCGCGTTGGCCTGTGAGGCGGCCGGTGCGGGGAGTATTTCATACGCCCTAAATAGCTTTTAAACCATGCTGTATCGCGGATAAATGAATATCCCTAACAAGCGTAAAGACAAGTAGTTTTTCTCCTGCCATAAACATATTGCATCTCCAGTGTAATTAAATGCAAACCAGGAGCGAACGAGACGTTTCCATTGTAGCTGTCACTCAGCGGAGGGGGAAGCACATGTACATTTGAACTTCAGAGATACGGGCTGGAGTAAACAGGTCTGAACTTCGGCAAGGGGAGGGGGTGAGGAATATCAAGGGCCAGGCGGAGGAAGGCAGAAAGACCGGAGGGGCGAGAAAATGTAGGTGTCAGCGGGTTCCGTCCTGCAGCCTGGGGAGCCGGGCCAGCACCGGCATGCTGACCCACAGGCCGGGGAGGTTTGTCGCGTGTTTGGTGGTGATGGGGAGAAGTTCCCCTCCAAAATGAAAATCGCCCTTCAGTTGCGTGGGAAACACGCGTTGGGCTCGGAAGCGAGTGGGGAAAAAACCACGAGGATGAGTTAAAGGTGCTGCAGAATAAAATGGGTCCTGTCGCCCCAAAGGGGGCCGAGGCAAGCCCAAGGGCAGGGGATGGCGGGGGGTCGCAGCCCTGCGGGGTGCCGGGGCCGCCCCCCGCCCCCTGGGATGCCCACGCATCTGGACGGCCACGCACCGGAGTGACCCCGGGACAGGCCAACCTGTGGAAGGGGAAAAAAAGCCCCCCGCAAAGCCGTTCGTACCGGGCACGGTGCAGACCCGGGAGCAGGCGGAGGAGGAAGCCGGATCCTCTGTACCCCGATCCGGCCGAGAGCATCCTCACCCTCCGGCCGCCCCCCCCTTGAAATCCACCCCACTCCCCCCCGCACCTCCGAGGAGCGGAGAGGGTGGGGGGAAGTGGCCAATATCTCAATCAGCGAGGAGGTGACCTGTGACCCGGAGGGTGGCTCTATTGTCCCGCTCTTGCGGGGGGACACAGACTTTAGTCAGCCTTTTCTGCGTGACTGAGCCCTGAGGGGCAACCGCAAACCCCGGGCTCCGGGGAAGCATCCCGATCTCGGGAACCGCCAACCCGGCAGCAGCTCCCGGGGGCACAGCCGTCCTTTCCCCG